TTTTTTTTTTTTTTTTTTTTTTTTTTTTTTTTTTTTTTTTTTTTTTTTTTTTTTTTTTTTGATTATTTATTCAGCACATCTTTGTTACACAAATTTAGCACTTTTACTTTACAATAAAATATAGATATCTTACAATTAGTCAACTAATGAAATGAGGTGGTGGTGAAGAAATATGAATAAATGAGTATAAGGTTTAAACTTAAGGGTTAAGTTAACTAACTGCTAAGACAATTACCTAATAACTTAATACTAGGTAAATATTTACAAAGACATCATAAAAACTGTACATACAAAGGAAAAGTTAACAAATAAACCGTGTACATACAGAAATATGTCTTTTAATTCACTCTTGCGAGTTACTAACCCTTATGATGGAAGATAAACAAAATTAACAATCAATATAATCAGAAATGAGATCAAAAGGCTTACGTCTTTTGAGTCTGCGGAGTATGTTGGAGTTATCGAGGAGGGAAATTGCCTCGACAGTAAATGATCCACCTAAACGTACACTTAAGTTCGAGTTATTCCTGCCTCTTATGTTTATGTTTTTCCCCGAATTTTGGGAACAATTTTTGAACAGTTACATCATAATTTCAATTCGTAACTATGCATACTTCAATCGCTTTTCTGATAAATGTAATTCATATCTAGTAGAGGGCTCGAATAACCTTTCATATATGTAGCATTAACCATACGGCAGGAAAATTCCGACCTTACAAATCATCGCAGTGTCTTGCTACTCTTTTTTGTGCGAATCGTTCTCCGCATAAGATTAGGAAAAAAAGAAAATTTGACGTTTTTTCAGATCAGATTTTCCCAGGTGGCCCATTTTTTCGCACCGTAAAATGCTGCAATGATAACACACTCAGATATCATTAATTAAAGAATCTAATATACTTATTTTGATTTCAGTTTCGCGCATATTCTCGTCCGATAGCAATGCGGAACCAGTTATTACCCAAATCACGTGAGCGCCAAAATTGCTGATGCGAGAAAAACAAGAAAAACCGTTTTATTCGTTCGTTGAAAAACTTTGGATTCCAAAAAATGCATGTTCTTTTAGAAGGCTATACTTTGAAATCAGACAGGATCGATTATACCAGAGAGAACAAAGAAAAAACAACCCCTGGACCACTAAAATAGAGATTGGCGCTTACATGATTTGGGAAATAATCGGTTCAATTCTATTTCGTAAATATATTATTTTAAAAATATGACAACGGTTCCACGTCAGGTGCCGCGTTGCGGAGTGCCCTTTCGGCCGCTCCATTTAGGTGCCGGACACAAGGCGGTCAACCATTGATAGTGCGGGGAGGTGGAGGGCTAAGGGAAAAACCTATGCATGCAAGAATGTTCATTTAATTTCCGTGAGAATCTCTATTCCTTGTTAACATGATGTTATAAGGTCGTCCCGATAGCTTTTGACATAAACGCTCAGCGATAACATCAGATGTCTGGCACTAGAAGCCACCTGACAAAATTCCACTCCATCGGCAAGAGTTATTACGGTACCAATACACCGGCAGTTTCACAAATTCACCCTAACGGCGAAACATGTGCATTTAACGCAGCTAAACGGGAAGGAAATTAATTAGTTTCGATTCCTAGGGGAGGCTGTTGTATATAGTTATATAATAGTTCAGCTTCGTTGTTCTCTCGCATGAATTATTGTGGAAATAGGGTTGTGGGAGGCTTCGATGAATAAGGTACCTTAAGTTTTATTGTTTACTTTTTGCCTTGTGGTAATAGAATT